TGCTGGCATGTTGCATTCACATCTTGGAGCACCTGGTTGAAGTCCGGTCCCTCTTTCCCTGTGAAGATATAAACAGTACCCTCCCCTTGGGTGGGTTAGGAGGCAGCTGGTCTTTATCAGAAAAGAAGACTCAGCAGGCCAATAGGTGGGAGTCCTAGGTACTCTTGGGGAGCACTTTCAGTGAGAGGGCCAGCCCAGGGAGGTGGGTGGTGGGGGTGGAGTGCCAGGCAATGGAAAGCCCTGGGATGTTGGGTGCAAACTCTCAGATTTGCCTCTGGCAAAATCTGGGCTCAAAACCCTGGACGCTCAGCCTGTCCTTCTCCCCAGGGCCTGAGAGGGTGAGTGAGCCCCACTTCTGAGTAGCCGGCCTTGGACAAGGGAGCTGGAGCTCGTAGGACACATCCTGCAGCCCCTCTGAGCAGGAGCTCTGCCCCAGCCCTCAGTCTGCCTTTCTGGCTCCTCGCTGTCCTCCTGAAGGCAGTGGATTTGTTCATCTCTAGGATCTTGTCTCCCGGCGGGTGCACTAGAGGCCAACATGGTGACTTCCAGCCAGGCCTGATGGGGGAAGCCGAGGATGCTACAGGCACAATAGACCAGGGGCTGGCCTTTCCCTTTCCCACAAGAGCCTCTGTTGAAACTGCATTCAGGAAGCAGGGGACCCCTCCACCAACTGGACTCTATTCTGCTTCCTGGGTGAGGTAGGAGCCACAGAACCCCCATCCACCGATACTTACAGAGTACCTGTCCTCTCTGCTGGAGTCCTGGTCTAGCACCCAGAGTTGACACACATGGCTGCTATCCAGAAGTTCAAACTTACCAGCCTCCCCAAAGGAGAAAGCTGAGACTATCTGTTCCTATAAAGATTTACAGTTTCCCAAACTGCAGAACTTAGAACTCCCTGCCGTCAAGTTGATCATTCCATTCGGACTCGTGGCAGCCCTATAGGACAAAGCACAATTGCCCCTAGTGACGGAAATCCTACTGGGGTTTTGAAACTCATAGGATTTCTGAGTCTGAATAGTTTGCTGGGGTCCGTGGGTGGCACAGTGAACAAACATGACTGCTTCTGGGCGGTTTGCATCTACCCAGAAGGGCCTTGGAAGAAAGACCTACCACTCACATCCCAAAATAAGCCGCCACTGAAAATTGTACGGCGCCCAGTCTGTCTGGCACGTGAGGGGCCGCTGTGCGTAGTCATTGATTCAATGGCAACAGGTAGCAGATTATACTCTGTGCCAGGCATTGTGCTAGAAACAGGACCACCCAGATCGAAAGGTCCTTGTTCTTGAGAAGCTTCTAGTCTAACTTAGGGCCGGGGGATGTGAGAGGGACAGGTAATCAGAAGTAGACATGTAGTTGCAGGTGTGATGGAGCTGTGTGCGGCCTTCCTAGCCACCGGCTAGGACTGCTCATGGACAGAGCGGGTGCCAGGCTTCTCTGCACCCCTGCAGCCAACCCAGGGCTGGCTCAGCACTGGCATGTGTTGAATTGCCTGGCATGAGCAGTCAAGCATGTGGGGGGACTGCCTAGCCGCAGTAAGACCCCAGGAGCTGCTGGGGACCCTGCAGACCGGATGGTAGGAATTCACAGCCAGCGACTATGCACCCGAGCAGAAAGCCCCACACAGGCTCCTGAGTGGGGAAGGCATGTCCTCAGGGGCTCAGGGAAGAATACCCGAGCTCCCCTTTAAATAGCTTCTTCAGCCTGCCCTACACAAATTCCTCCCTCCAGCACCCCTAGAACATTCCCACTTCCCCTCGCCTTCGTCCATACCACTCTTGCCACCCTTTACCCATCCCTGCCTTCCCTAATTAACTGAACGCTCCCACCCCCCAAGACTTCTGAAATCCCCATCCCAGGCCCTCCTAAGGACCTCCTTGAAGTCCTCCTGGAGCCAGTAGCCACAGCCAGCGTGGCCTGGTGTAGTAGTCAGTGTGCTGGGCCACCCAGGACCGAGTCTCCATGGCTCCAGTGGCTCCTGCCTGAGAGCCTCTTCAGAAAGGCCCCGTCTCAGAGTCGCGGCACTTTGGCCACACGGGATTGGCGGGGCGTCTGAAAGCCACTCCTGCCTTCCTGCCTTCGCTCCAAGTGGACTGCTCTAAGGGCCAGTCCAGCTCCAAGGGCTCCTGGTACTTCTGCAGAGGACTGGTGACAACCGTACCTCAGTTCTGCACCTACCCCTGTCCTGCCCTGCTTCCCCCCTTCCCAGGGATTCTCCCCCACCTCGCTAATCAGCCAACACTGTGCAGGAGAGCAGGTTTATGGCGCCTGGTGACATAATGACTCAGTAGCCAGCCTGGGTCCAGGTAGCGAGGAATCATTTTCGGCTCTGTGACCTTGGGTGGGTCACCTAACTTCCCCATGCATCCATTTTTCTCACCTGGCGAGGGCCACTGTGTTAGTCATTTGGCTTAACAAATGCCCACGAATGTGGTGGCTTAAAGCAACCGAAATCGATGATGGTGCAGTTCTGTGCGTAAGAAGTGTGACCGGGCTCTCGGCAGGCTGCACTTCGGATGTCTGTCTAAGGGCGTCGGTGGTGCCGGGGCTGCATGTGGAGCTGCGAGCCAGAAGGCCGGTCATCCCTCAGGAGACCAAGGAGGCTTTCTGCTCCCATAAGCACTGACCACAGGGGCCGTCCGACCCTGGCCTACAGAGTCGCTGTGAGTGGGACATGGGCTAGACCGCAGGGAGCTTTTGTCACCGTGGTCTTAATCTGGCGAGTTCGGGGCAGGGCGGGTCTTTTCCTGGCACATTTGGGTTGAGGCAGAATCCAGTTCCTGTGGTTGTGAGACTGAGGTCCTGTTTTCGGGCGGTTGGGCGAGTGTCTAGAAGCTAGCACGTTTCATGGCCGGTGGCCCTTCCTCAGTGTCAGCGCAGTATGGGGAGTCGGCAGTGCAGCTGTCTGGCCTGCCTCCTGCGTCACGTGTGTAGTAAGACTTGGTCTACCTGGAAAGGCCAAGAGCGTCTCCTGTCCCAGAGGCCTCAGTCACATCCCCAAGGCCCTTTGCCACATAAGGCAACGGAGGCTCCAGAGGGCATCTTTGGGGGAGCATGATTCCACTCATGAGACAAATGGGACAAACTCTGACTCAGTGCGCACCCCACCCCCTTTCCAGGGAGAGGTCTGCGAGGTGTCCTGTGCGGCAGGGACCTACGGCCCCAACTGCTCCTCCGTCTGCAGCTGCAGCAACGGTGGCACCTGCTCCCCCGTGGATGGCTCCTGCACCTGCAAGGAAGGTAACCAGCCCTCTTCCCCCTCCCTGTGCTCCACAGGTGTGCCCGCTGCCCTGGGGGCTTCCCACCCAGAGAGCGTCTGGGCTGTATTCATCAGGACCCAACCAAAGACAGAGCCCAGGCGGGGGCCCCATTCCAGCAGCCAGCCCGGAATGAGGAGGGTTGGGTACAGTGGTGTCAAGAGATGAGGGAGCTCATAGGAAGATGAGCTCACAGATTGGAGATGCCGCGGCCACTCCTAGGGAAGGAGGGCGAAGGGGAGAGAGAGCTCCCGGGGCCTGGGGTCCGAGCTATCCAGGGAGGGAGACTGCCTGCCCGTGGCTGTGCTGGAGTCCACATCCACGAGGCGCTAGGGGGGTGGACAGAAAGCTGCCCTGCTTGGAGACGGCGAGCTGACGATGCCCTTCCTGCTCCCCAGGGTGGCAGGGCCTGGACTGCGCCCTGCCGTGTCCCAGTGGGACATGGGGTCTGAACTGCAACGAGAGCTGCACCTGTGCCAACGGCGCATCCTGCAGCCCCGCGGACGGCTCCTGCTCCTGCACCCCCGGCTGGCTGGGGGGCACCTGTGAGCTGTCCTGCCCGGTGAGTGCCTGGGCGAACAGGCAGTGGGCACTGGCAGAGTGGGAGGCACAGGGTGGGTCTGGCACCTCCTTGCCTGTCCTGAACTGTGGTGATTTTGTCCCTGGCGGTGGGCAGAGAGGCTACCTGGTAGGATTCAGGCCGCAGCAGCAGCTCTGACCGCTCGGAGGGGCACCTTCCGAATTTGGGCCTCCGCCTCCTCCTTTCTAAGACCCTTGGAGGGGTAGTATGGCCCCCTCACTGCTGTGGTGAGCATGACTCATTGGACCTGGCACAGTGCACAGGCAGGGCAGCCTGTCCCAGCCATTCTTCCACAAACAATGTCTACACCTCCTACGGCTTCCCACAGTGGGGCTTCCGGGAAACTAAACCCTGATCTGGCAGTGACCACCCCGACTTCATAGACAGAGCAGCTGACAGTCTTTGAACAGTCTGGGCGTTGGAGTCCCACAGTCCTGAGTTCAAATCCAGTCTTTGCTACAGCCCAACCGTGGTGCCTTGGGCATGGAACTTCACCTCTCTCCACTATGTTCTCACCAGTCATGTCAGAACAGCATGTGGCTGTGTGGTGAGGCTCAAGAGAAACAAGGCCACACGATGGCTCTTGATACTTAGTGGACACCACGTCCTCCTCCCCAGCAAACAGAAAAAACATAGTCATTCTTCGCATATAAATGACATGTGACAATTTGCCAAGTTTCTCATTTGCAATTTTAGCTGAGAGTCACTGCAGCCCTCCGATCTTGACCGCCCAGAAGTAAAGCAAAACCGTCACCTCCTTCCTTTGAGGTTCATACTCCTGGTGATGCAACCAAAGGATTCACAACAGTGTTGATCCCCTCTCCGCCCTGGTCCTGGCCTCCGCCGGTGCCACGGGACTGGGGGGCTCAGTGTGGGCATCTCGGGCGTCCAGGTCTGATGGGTCCTCTTGCCCCTCTTCTCCACAGGATGGCACCTTTGGGCTGAACTGCAGGGAGCGCTGTGACTGCAGCCACGCTGATGGCTGTGATCCCATCACTGGCCACTGCTGCTGCCTGGCCGGATGGACAGGTACCAACCCCCTCAGCTCTCCTTCCCTCCCTCCCTCCCTCCCTCCACCCAGGCTGCTGTGAAACTGGGTGTCTGGTGGGTCTCCTCTCTCTCAACTGCTCTTTCTCCTCCTCCCCCTCCGGCTTTTCTCCATGAACCTTTCCCTTGATGCTGCTGAGCTTGGTTTCTTCACTCCGTTCAGCCAGGTCAACCTCAGTCCTCAGTGCCGCGGCTCAGAAGCACCGCCAGTGGAAACAGAACAAAATAGGCTCACTGCCAGCGGTCAGCCTGACCGCTCAACTCCTCCTCCTCACCTAGAACCCCTCCCTGCTGCTCCCTACATCTCGGCCAATCCTTCTGGGACTGACCACCTTCCAGCCTTTGCGTGCACCATCCCTCTGCCTGGGACACTGGGACCTTTTGTCACCTGGTCTCTCCTTCCCAGCCAGCAGCTCTCAGCTTGACTGGGGCATCCTTTGGGACTGGCTCTTCTCCCTTCCACTGCCCCTCCTTCCACCCTCCACCAGGCCACCAGTGAGAGCCAGCCCCTTTGATGGAGTCCCCAGACACCCTGCGCTCCTCCTGTTGTAGCCCTTACCACAACTGTCATTGAACTCTGACTTCCAACTTCACCATCTGCTCCCTGCAGGCAGGAGGCTCATCTGCGGAGTTCACTGCCCAGGTGTGATGGGGATAGCACAGTGGTTAGGAGGCCAGGAACGGAGCCAGGTTGTCTAGGCTTATGGCTTTGGGAAAACCCCTTACCTTCTCAGGGCTCAGTGCCCCATCTGTCAAACTCGGAGAATTAAAAGCCTCACAGCTACAGGGCCATTTAAAGTTTAAATGAGTTCATGCCTCTGACAGACTAGCAGTGCCTGGCGCAAGGCACCAGACACCCCACCAAGTCAGGTGCCTCTAGTCGATTCCAATGCATAGTGGCCCCACATAGGGTGGCAGAGACTATAAATCTATTTATTTATTTTAATCATTTTATTGGGAGCTCATACAACTCTTATGATAATCCATCCATCCATCCATCCATCCATCCATCCATTGTGTCAAGCACATTTGTACATTTGTTGCCATCATCGTTCTCAAAACATTTTTTATCAGCTCCTCATTTTCCCCCCTCCCTCCGTCCCCTACCTTCCCTCCCTCACAAACCCTTGATAATTTATAAATTAGTATTATTTTTTCATGTCTTACACTGTCGGATGTCGCCCTTCACCTACTTTTCTGTCGTCCGTCCCCCAGGGAGGATCTATGTGTAGATCCTTGTGATCAGTTTCCCCTTTCTCCTCCACCTTCCCCTCCCCCTCCTGGTATCACTACTTTCATTATTGGTCCTGAGGGGGTTATCTGTACTGGATTCCCTGTGTTACCAGCTCTGATCTGTACCAGTGTACATGCTCTTGTCTAGCCAGATTTGTAAGTTAGAATTGGGATCATGATAGTGGGGTGGGGGAGCATGAGTAGGAGGAAGCATTAAAGAGCTAGGGGAAGGTTGTATGTTTCATCGGTGCCACACTGCACCCTGCCTGGCTCGTCTCCTCCCCGTGACCCTTCTGTAAGGGGATGTCCAGTAGCCTACAGATGGGCTTTGGGTCTCCATTACATATTCCCCCTCATTCACAATGATAGGATTTTTTGTTCTTTGATGTCTGATACCTGATCCCTTCGACACCTCGTGATCACACAGGCTGGTATGCTTCTTCCATGTGGGCTTTGTTGCTTCTCAGCTAGATGGCCACTTATTTACCTTCAATCCTTTAAGATCCCAGATGATATATGTTTTGATAGTTGGGCACCATCAGCTTTCTTCACCATATTTGCTTATGCACCCACTTTGTCTTCAGCGATTATGTCAGGAAGGTGAGCATCATGGAATGCCAGTTTGACCGAACAGTGTTCTTGCATTGAGGGAGTACTTGAGTAGAGGCCCAATATCCATCTGCGACTTAATACTAAACCTATAATTATATGCACATAGATCTATTTCCCCATCATCATATGTATATTTACATATGTACATACCTGTATTTAGACCTCTATAAATGCCCTTTGCCTCCTAGTTCCTTCCTCTATTTCCTTTTACTTTCCTCTTGTCCCACTATCCTGCTCAGCCTTCATTTGGGTTTTAGTAATTCCTCTAGGTTACACTGCCCTTGATCAAGCCCTACCAGGCCTCTTACACCCTCCTCACTATCGATTTTGGATCACTTGATGTTCCCTTGTCTCTTGTCCACTTCCTTTCCCCCGCCTCCCCCTCTCCCGTGTCCCCTCAGAACCATTGGTCCCGTGTTTTCTCCTCCAGATTGTTTATCCCACCTATCTCACCTAGATAGACCTGCAAAGATAATAATGTGCACACAAAAACAAGACAACAACAAAGATCTTTACAGGAGCAGGAAGCCGGGTCTTTCTCCCAGAGCAGCTGGTGGGTTTGAAGTGCCGATCTTGAGGTTCACAGCCTAATCGTTATCCCCCAGTGCCACCAGAGCTCTTTTGGCACAGGGGAAGCACTCGTTAAGGAGCCCTGGGGCACAGTGGGTTACTGACCGCAAGGTCAGCAGTTTGAACCCAGTTGCTTCTCCCAAAGAACCAGGTGGCGGCTTGCTGCTCCTGTAGAGGTTTCCAGCATTGGAAACCCTCCATGGCTCTGCTGTGGGTCCTGATCAGCTCGATGGCAGAGGAAGCACTCACGAAAGTAAGCCCCAACCAAATGTATTGCTGCCGAGTTGACTCTGACCCCTAACGACCCTCTAGGGCAGAGGAGAAATGCCCCTGCCAAATTGCCAAGGCAGCTGGTGGGTTTGAACCACTGACCTTTCAGTTAGCTACCGAACGCTTAACCCATGTACTACCAGGACTCCTTCCTATGAAGTCAGCATGTGCTGAATAATTACATGTGTGAGCGAGCCTACTGGCCAGCCACAGGCGGGAGACAACCAGGAGAAGGGCGTACCGCCATTTCTGCAGCACAGGTTCTAGGATAAATAACTCACACCAGGCTGCTATCCAGCCTCTGTTCTCCACAAGCAGGATGTTTTTTAGTGGCTGAGCCAGAGGCGCAGATTCCCTGCAGCATCTTTGACCCATTTCCCCTGCCCTCTTTGTTCTGACCTTTGGCTCTGCCCTGGTCACCTGTCCCCTGGAGTCCCAGCTGGAGCCCATGTGGAAATCCCCTTTAATTTTTCATTGCCTTGATTTTGAGCAAACCGGTAAGATTTTAATGACATCCTGGTGCTTAACAATTCTGTCTTTGATGGACAACCTTTCAGCCAGGCCTCTGCTGTTCTAAAGCTAATTTCCCCAAACGTGGGTCTGAAGTCATTTCCAAGAAGTGATTGATGCCTGACATTTGTCCTACAGAAGGGGACCAAGGAGGGCGAGGAAGAGACCGGGTACAGGACTGAGGCCTGCGTTGAGGTTTCCCCACAGGCCCGATTCCCTGGTCACTGATGAATTGCTCAGACCTGGCTTCATCACGGGGTTTGCGCTGCCCTAAACTGTGGGCTTGTCTTATCACCCCTTGTCCAGACCACAGCTCATAGCTCACTCATCTTGCCCTGCGCATAGTCGGTGCTCACTAAATGCTTATTCAAATCAATCGAAGATGGCCTATGCCTACATATGATTTCTCCCCTTGAAGTGGAAGAGCCATTTAGTTTTATCTACTCTAAATCCTTCATGCTTCAAAGGGAAACTAGTGGCGTGAGGCGCAGACTTCTAGTGTCAATATGATAGAAGAGGCAGGAGTGTGTTTTAAGGGGGTGACATATATACACCTAACTAGTCTGTTAACCACAAGGTCAGCAGTTCGAAACCACAAGCTGCTCCAAGGGAGAAAGACAAGGCTTTCTACTCCCATGAGGAGTTACAGTCTGGGAAACCCACAGGGGCAGTTCTGCCCTGTCCTATGAGGTCGCCATGAGTCGGCACTGACGCGGTGACAGTGAGTCTTGAGTCTGAGGACTATTAACTCAAGCAATCACCAGATCTTTATTTGGAAGCTACTGAGCTTGGGTGCCAAGCCAAGGAGCTTGGGTGCCACAGTGGTTAAGTGCTGAGCAGCTAACCTTAAAGGTCAGCGATTCAAACCTCCAACCTGCACAGGGGATGACAAGGCCGCCTGCTTCCATAAGATTTGTATCCTGGGAAACCCTACAGGGCAGTCTCTAGGAGTAAGAATCGGCTAGACAGCCAGGGGTGTACTAGGCCCAGCAGTGAATGGCAAAACCCAACAAGAGTCACCACTTCTGAGGTGTGCCAAGCACCCTGCTGGGTCCTGGAGATGCACAGGTGATCAAGAGAGCACCCCTGTCCTAAGGAGCACCTGGGAAAGCAAGTGTCCAAGAGGCATGGTCCTTATGTTCAAACCATTGCAGAGCTGAGAGGACTTTTCTGCAAGAGACTGGTGGGGGCAAGGCCGTATGCCACTGTCTGTCAGTTAGATGTGTGAATCCCTGGGCAGACACCCAGGAAGGCTTCCTGTAGGAGGAGGGTCCCAAAAGGCCTGGAAGCTGTGCTGAGATCCTGCTGCCCCCTTGTCCAGCAGGAGCACCGAAGCCAGGACTTGGGGATGTGGTTCAGCTGCGTGGAGGGGAAGCTTGGGGCAGGGGGCAGGTCCTGCTGGGCTGAGTGCCAAGGCTGGGGGCTGATGTGGGAGGCTCCTTGCTCTGGCTCATGCAAACAGTTAAGCTCTCAGCTTTGGACCGAAAGGTTGGTGGTTTGAGCCCACCCAGAGGCTCCGCAGAAGAAAGACCTGGCTCCCGGGCCCTGGGAGCTCACAGTCCTAAGGAGCCCGTAGAGCTCGGTTCTGTTCTGCACTGACAGGGCCCAAGTTGGGATCTATTTGCACTCCACCACCTCCTCCTTCCAGACCTCCAGCCGAGGCCCAGGCAAGGCTGTCCCTGTCTTTTCTCCAAACAGGCCTCCCTCCAGTGCAGTCCCTCCCCCATCGTGATCAAGGGATGGGTCCTGGGGCAGGCTTCCAGCACATCCTGACTCTGTCCGGACCCAGTTTCCCACAGCTTCATTCGTTCAAAGCTCAGGACCTAACAGCATCAGGCAAGATGCAGTCAGGATCAAACAGGTCTGAGTACGAGAAAATCATGGTGTCTAACTTTAAAGCGAGCTTTCCTGTAGCCTTGCATCTACCCCCATTCCTGTTGAGTTCCCCCTTCTGCCTCTCCTTGTCATCTTTTCCTCCTTTCTCCCTTCAGGCCTTCCTTCGTTCCTGCCCCACTCCCACCTCCAGCTGGATCAGGTCTTGCAGAAAGGTGTGAACTTGGTCACATTATATGGACTCCTAGACTGCCTGTCTGCCAGGAGAGTGTGGGGGAGGAGGGCGGCCCTGAAAATAAAGCAGAGGGACCTTTTGCCCCCATTGACGAAGGGGGAAACGGGGGCCCAGAAAAGGCACCTGATGGAACTGTGCTGCTTCTTGAAGAGCCTCTTCCCAGGACCAGGTGGGCCCCTCTGGTCACCCTCGAAAACGGAGACCCTCCAGCCCAGCACAAGCTCCGTCCCTTCTCCTCACAGTCTGAGTGTCCTTCCGGGGAGCTCTGAGGGCATGGCAGAACCCCAGACGTAAGCCTCCTCCTGCAGATAATTGCCCAGCAGCCACTGCGCTCTGGGCCTCACTCCGAGGTTCTCACGCTCCGTTGACAGCATCCCATTCATGGCCGGAACTGTACTTAGGGACTCAGACATAAGACAACCTGGATCAGAGGGAGCCCCCACCCATTTTGGCCAGTGATGCCAGGACCCCTGGGGAACATGAGCCACTGGTGGCCAAGAGGCTGCGTCCGCCAACAAGAGGGAGGTCTGGGGCTGGCTAAACTAGCTCCCGGCCGCTGCAACACACGGCCATGAACACGCACACGCTTCCCCATGCATCGAGGCAGCCCTGGTGGTGTAGGGGGTTACAGGTTGGGCTGCTAACCACAAGGTTAGTACTTTGAAGCTACTAGCCCCTCCGCTGGAGAAAGATGAGGGTTTCTACTCCCATAAAGAGTTCCAGTCTCAGACACCCACAGGGACAGTTCCACCCTGTCCTCTAGGGCCCCTACGAGCCAGAGTCCACTTGACGGCAGGGCGTTTCCCTGCCCGTAAGGAGCCCCGCTGGTACAGGGGGCTGAGTGCTGAGCTGCTAAAAGGGCATCGGTTCAAACCCAGCAGTCACGCCACTGGAGAAACATGAGGCTCTGGTAAAGACACGCAGTTCTAGAGACCCCAGGGCGCAGTCCTACTCGGGCTGGTGTTTCTGGTATTTCATTGAGCACTAGTAGAAAAGAGCAGTGTGTTGGGTGACGTGGGACATGGGGCGTTTGGAGGCCCCCTCACACAGTGGAGCTCTGCCTCAGTTGTAACGCCCAAGGGGCTGCAGCCTGAGGTCCTCAACAACCACGGGCAAAAGAACCACCCAGCAGTTGCCAGACTGAGAATTGTTACATGGCCTGCCTGTCCTCTGGGACCACGTCCAGGCTGCTGGTCCAAGGCCAGAAATCCTCTGGGAGAGCTCTCTGTCCGGGGGTAAAATGTGGCTGCCGGTTTCTCATGGGGAAGGATCCCACGTGCTTGGGAACCCCCACCCCTTTCCACACCGAGAATAGGTTTCCCAGAGAGCAGCATCGAAGCCCCCACCCTGTTGCACATTTGAGATGCCCCCTGGGGTGGGGGGGGAGAGAACCTGCCTCCAAGGCAGCGCTGGCAGGACTGGGGATGGTAAGCCTGTTGCCCCCTCGCTCTCTCTGCTTCCTTCCAGCTGCTGCACCCTCCCTCTCCCTCTCCATGGCCCAGGTGGGCTTGTAAGATTCTAGCCTGCTTCTAAATTGGTCCCACTGCACCCCTTCTGCTGGTGGGGCTGGTTCTTGTCCATGGCTCCGAGGGTCTTCCCTCCCCTGTCTTTCCTTAGAACAAGGCCTGCACAAGTCCTAAATGATGGCAGCTCCTCTCTGAGCCTGCAAAGCTGAGCTGGTCTCCTGGGCTCACTGGGCCCATTCACCAAGTGCAGATCAGACCAGAAGCCTTCCTGCCGGGGAGCAAGCCCAACCCCAGAGCTGTGCCTCCAGCCTCAGCCTCTTTAAACTCCCGCTTAGCCTTTGAGCTGTCATCCTCCCAACGATAATTCCTCTACACAGCTCAAAGAGACAAGATTTCACTCATTTCCCCCAAAGGCCTCTTGGTCAGACTGAGGGTCATGAAATCAATTTGTTGGGTTACAGCCAGCATTTTTTAAAAAACACCAAGACACTATCGGTCCACGGGAAATGTCTGGGTACCTCACACACACGCATGTCAAAGGTCATTTTGCAACGTGCTGGCTCCTGTCACACCATGTGTGCACATGGGACATGAGGCATGTATTGCGGCGAAGACAGGCATCCAGACCACCTGCAATGCACTGGGGTAGGAGTCTCACCCATCCTTCTGTGCCCTTAATGTGCCCCTCCCCGTCCTGCTCTGGTTGGCTGGGACCCAGCAGAGACCTGTGGCTCCTTGGCTATCAAGGGTGGGCAGAGGTCACCCCCAGCTTGCATAGCCCCTCCATGAAGGCACCGAGGTGCCCTGTAGTTAGGGACGCTCAGCTATGATGTCGCAGGCGAAGGAAGGCCTTCCTGATGTGATCCCGTCTTAGCCCCACAGGCTCACCTCGCTCCAGCCCTTACTCTGTACTTCATGGTTCAACCACTCAGAACTCACAAAGCCCTCTTTCAAGGCATGGTCGCTCTCCTGCCTCCTGCTCTTTGCCTGGTCAGACCCTCATTGTCCCTCGGGCACCATGTTTTTTGTTCTTTGGACAGCACCGCTTCCTGGAAGCCTCCCGGAGCTGCCAGGCCGTGAAAGGTTTCTCTCTGCTCTGTGCTGCCTCCGCCTCATCACCCCTCATGGTGACCCCTTCCCATCCGCCTTCCCCCACCCTCACCTCTCAGCCCACTGACTGGACTGTCTCTGGCCCCAGGCGTCCGCTGTGACAGCACCTGTCCACCTGGCCACTGGGGCCCCAACTGCTCCATCTCCTGCAGCTGTGAGAACGGCGGCTCCTGCGCCCCGGAGGACGGGAGCTGCGAGTGCGCCCCTGGCTTCCGGGGACCCCTCTGCCAGAGAAGTAAGGCTGCGGCCCCCGCCCTACCGACCCCATCCCACCGCTCTTCTTTGGAATTAGCCCTGAGGGCCCCCAAGAGAGGCTCCCCGTCAGCCCCAGTCCCTCCCAGTCTTCAGTGCCCTCCCTGGTGTCCTGTCTTCAAAGGCAGGGCCCAGGTCAGCGCCCAGCACCAAGACACCCAGACCACAGCTCTGCTCTGGAGAAAGGGCCAAATGTCTCCCCCCGGAAGCAGAGGGGTGGCCAGCTTGGTGGGAGCCCTGAGGTCACTGACCACATCTTCCCTTCCCCCCCAGTCTGCCCCCCTGGGTCCTATGGCCAGGGCTGTGCCCAGCCATGCCCCCTCTGCGTGCACAGCAGCGGGTCCTGCCACCATGTCAGCGGCGTCTGTGAGTGCCTCCCTGGATTCTTCGGAGCCCTCTGCAACCAGGGTAAGGTGTGAGGGGGAAGTGCCAGGTCTCGTGGGAGGGAAGGCTCAGGGCTGCCAGCCCGCTGTTTGTGAAGGAGCTCCTCTCCTCTGCTTTTCTGGAAGATGGGCACCCTGTGGAGTGAGGCAAAGCCACTGTGGAGCTGAAACACCAGCTCAGAGAAGCTAAATGGCTTGTCCATGGTCTCACCGCTAAGCCAGTGCAGAGCTGGGAAACATCTTCTGGCCCCAAAGTCTTTGCCAAGTGGCCGGAACATGAGACACACAGAGAAGAGACCTGTGTAAGGGACGGCCACAAAGTGGTTTGTGCCGAGTGCCGGGTGGTGCAGACAAAAAACACCGTGTGAGTTGAGAAGAGAGTCTTCTGGTTGGGGCTGGAAGTGGCAACTTCCTTCTGCCCTGGAGTTCAGGCCAACCTCACTGAGCCCGCCCCTCCAGCCCCCTTGCCACTCTCAGCCTCAGAACCCTTCTCAAAGCCAGCTCCAGGCGCTGCTGCTGCTCAGCGGGAGTGGAAAAGAGACATCAAATGCCTTCCGTCTTTGCTGTGTGCCTGAACCGGCCGACTGGTGGCGTTTGCAGATTCCTGGGCATAAAAATCACCAGCCTGGCCGACCTCAACTTACCAGTGGTTTAACCCTGGGCCAAATTCCAGACAAGTCAACCATCAGTGACTCATAGTGACCGGTGGGAGCTGGCTCGGGCATGCCACTGGCCACTTTGCCGTCCTCGATTTCTTAAGCCAAGACAACGTGGAGTGAGGCAGAGGCTCAGGTCTTGCACAGGTTTGCAAGGTCCCCAGCTGGGCCTTCTTCCGAGAGGAGGAGGAGGAGGAGCCAGGCACTGGGATGGGGAGCAGAGTCCAGGAGATGGGGATGTTGAAGGAGCGGGGCAGCTGGGTATGGCAAAGAGCCTCCAACGGTGCTCCAGAGCCTTCAGAACAAGGTGGCCACGGTGCCCTCAACCCTATAAGGAGCAAACGCTATAGGATCTCAGAAGAGAAGGGTCCTAGTGGTGCCATGGGTTAAGCCTTGGGCTGCGAAGGGTGGGGCGAGGTGGCAGCTGTGACCCACGGCCACTCCACAGGACAAAGATGCAGCTGTCCGCTCCCAGAAGGATCGACAGTCTTGGAAACCCACAGGAGCAGTTCTACTCTGTCCCATAGAGGAACTCGGGGTCAGATGGCAGGGGGTGGGGCTGGAGCCAAAAGCAGAGCCCCAAGGTGGTGCCGGTGGTTAGAGCGCTAGGCTAATCCCAAGGGTGGCTGGCAGTTTGAGTGGAGTCAGAGGGACCTGGGGAGAAAAAGCCTGGAAATTTGTTTCTAAATAATCAGCCATTGAAACCCTACGGAGCACAGTGCCACCCAGACTCTAAGGCAGCGGTTCTCACCCTGTGGGTCACGACCCCTTTGGGGGTCGAATGACCCTTTCACAGGGGTCGCCTGATTCATAACAGTAGCAACATGACAGTGATGAAGTAGCAACGGAAATAATGTTATGGTTGGGGTCAGCACCACATGAGGAGCTGTCTGAAAGGGCGGCGGCGTGAGGCAGGTGAAGAACCCCTGCGCTAAGGCCCCGTATCTGTAGAGACACAGGTCATCTACACCAGAACTGACCCGGCCTCTGCTTAAATACTTTCGTTGACGGAGAGCTCCCTCCCTCGCTGGGGACCCCATCCTGTTCATGAATAATCACCCCTGAGCCAGGCCCTTTGCCCCACATGTGGTCTGTTAATAGGAATGAGTGGAAAGTCTCCTTCTGCGATGCTCTGAGGTCACGAGGAGAAGTCTGGGCCCCAGGGAAGCGTGTGACAGTTTCGTTTGCTGGCAGCCTCCTAGGACAGTTTAATCATAGCCTGACTCGCCGAGGTTTACTTATTAAACATCGGAGACCAGCCCTCAGCACAGATAGGCCAGGCCGAAATTAGGACCTCCGCAGCCAGGGGGGCCTCTCTGAGTCTGTGATGTTGGATTTATCGCCTGCTGGCCTAATGAGTATTTTCCACAGATAGATCGAATAGAGTTTGCTATTAATGGCAACTGCCCTGGTTAAGTCTCAAACCTTGTAAAAAATTAAACTGACACTTTCTAACGACCAGTTTTCCAGCAAGTTACAAATTACAGGCACTGCTTATGCAGAATCATTAAACATAGATGAAATATAGCCACATGTTTTCTTTTCACCACTCCCCACCCACTCCCCCACCCGCCTCCTGCTCCACCACCCCTTTGCCACAAGCTAGATTCAGCCTGGAAGTCAATCAAGGGATGTGTGAGGCTGATCGTATCAGAGCGCTCTGTAGGTGCATCTGTTGACCTTGGCTCCTGTGTGACAGGCTTTAAAGGCAAGACGGGTAGAGCAAGGCAGGGTTGGCTTTAGGGCTGTGGGTAAGTGGAGCAGACCAGCTTCCCACAGAGGGCCAGCAATGAGTCCCCAAACCTAGCTCCCCACCTGGCCCACCTGCTAACACCCAGGCTGCAAGCAGGTGAGACCTGTGTGGTCCTCCTGACGGCGACCTGGGAAGGAGCTAAAGTTCTGTCCAGCTTCTCATCAGCCTGCGGGCAGGAGCCAGAGGGGGAGGCGATCACTCTCTAAGTGGAAGCAGGAGAGCCGGAACCCCGTGGGGGGTGTTGGCTCAAAGGAACTTGGCTGGGAAGTGGCAGACTCTCCAAGCTCTGTGGCTTTGGGCAAATGACTGCATCTCTCAGAGCCTCAGTTTCTCACCTCTAGCGCTAATAACAGGGAATAATAATGTGGAGCTATATATAGATGGTTAAGAACTAATACTTGTGAAACATCTTGAGCAGTGCTTGGTACACATAAGTGCTATGTAAGTTATGGAACACATACAACGAAGACCTAAACTGAAGGCTTTGGACTGCAGGGCCGGTCTTTCTTATTTGCCCCAACCCCTAATCATGGGCAGAGTCTAAGAGTGCCCATACTCTGGGTAGAGATATGATATGGCAGTGTGCCATAAAGGACAGGGTGCCACCCCAAGACGTGAGAGACCTGGGCAATTCGATTCTTTTTAAGAATTAACACCTCCCTGTGATCTTTCAAGGGCTTCCACCAAGTGAGGGCCTCAGAGACCCCAGGGGTTCTCCCCCGTAGCAGGGCTGCAGGAAGGCCTTTCCTGGGCTGGCTAGAACCGGGATGTCTTTGAGGGAAGTATGTCGTACTAGGACCATCACTTTGGAAGGTCACAGCTCCTAGGACCTATTTTGGGCTCTTTGGGACAATTCCTGAGTGTGTACAGAACGTCAGGCACTGCGTTGGGCTCTGAGACACATGGCTTTGACCTCTGATGAATGATGGCCATTTGAGCTCTGGCCGCCTTACCCACCTCTCAGCTAGCAAGGAGAAAGGAGCAAATGTGTTTTTACTTACCGTGGGTCAGAGGTGAGCCAGGACCAGCTGACCTATAGATATAACAGGGTAGAACTGCCCCCAGTGAGTTTCTGAGATTGTAACTCTTTATGGGAGTCGAAGGCCCTTTCTCCCACAGAGTGGTGGGTGGTTTCAAACTGCTGACCTTGTAGTTAGCAGCCAGTGTGTAACCACTCTGCCCCCAGGGACCCTAAAAAGAGAGACTGTTAAAGGAAGAAGAGACTTGGTATTAACCAACAATTCTGAGTCTTCTACAGAAGGCTTGCAGGGGAGGCAGCTTTTTTTTAAAAAATATTTTATTAGGGGCTCATACAACTCACCACAATCTGTACATACGTCATCTGTGTCTAGCACTTTAGTATATATGTTGACTTCATCATTCTTACGACACCCACTTTCCACTTGAGCCCCTGGTGTCAGCTCATTTTTCCCCCTCCCTCCCCGCTCCCCCCTCCTCCCGACAATTTATAATTTATTATTATTTTATCATATCTTACCCCATCCCACG